TATATATATATATATATATATATATATATATATATATATATATATATATATATATATATATATATATATATATATATAGTGTGTGTGTGTGTGTGTGTGTGTGTGTGTGTGATGCAGTGGAATAATGATTTGATGGATTGGATGAAGATTTTGATAAGAAGAAAGCTTCACCTGATAGATGAGTAAGATGTCTCTTAAGTTTGGTGTCACAGCACTGTTCCTTATATAATATGTTATATATTTCACATCACATTGATAATCTCCAACAATATCATATCACATGCAACAATATTCCAAATCTTCAATCACTTCTGAATCCAATCAAAATCAGATTCCCATGTCTAATGGAATCTATAACTAGACAAGAATTTGGCAGAAATCTTAGGTTTTTTTTACCTTGATTTCATAGATTCCTGCTGCTACAGACGTACATACAAAAATCATTAATGTGCTCACACCTGTGTAATGATGACATGATGGGGGCCTATTAGCATCATATTGGCATCAAATTAGCGATTTCAGCACACTGATGAAACTGTTGCTGTGTTTTTGTGAACAAAAAACGTTTCCATTCATATCTGCAATTGCACCTTTAGGGTTCATTCCAACATACCTGCCACCTTCTATAGGACATTAGCAAAGATGAATTAGAGCAAAGCATCAATGGACAATCTAACTAGCAATTTTTATACTATAGAGACTATGAGTGGAGGCTAATGATCAAGGATGAACTTTAGAATGCATGCATTCAGGTGGTCCAGACTCCAGGTGACAAAAGTATGAAGGAATCCTCAAGAGGAATTCACCATACTCAATCATTTGGAAGAAACAATAATTGGGGACAAATAATTCTTAAATTGGTGCATGATGCAGAATCTAATCATGCATATGGATAAGAATATTTATGGCCTCATACACCGATATTCTTGTCTATATGACTTTTCTATAGAGAGAAGAATATATTCTAAATCACAGAATCTAGGATACAAAATGGCAGCATAGTACTCAAGAGCAACTTAAAGACAATGATATCAATTTAGTGGGAAGATTGGAAGAAGATCTAGGGTTGGAATCTATGAACAAGTTAGAGGAGCATACTGCACATGTTATCTGTGGACTATTTTCTTCAGGTTAGTAATCATGCAATGACAGATTTGGAGGCTTCAGGTGATGGATTTGGTTCCACTTGGAAGTTCCTATCTGAATGTGGCACAGTTGAAATAATAAAGTAACATTGCTGCAGTCATACCTAACTGAGCATAGCAAGAGAATAATGCCAAAGTAGTAGGTAGAATCGCAACCACAATATCTATTTCCTTAAATTGCAAAAGCAATGATCAAAACTTTTTTTAACCATACGAAGTTGATAATGGGTGCAACATCATCAGCTTAAATACCACAAAAAGGTTCCTGACTATATTACATATCATCAAACATAATAATTTGCATCAAGTTATGTAAATGAAGGGCTAAAATTTGACAAAAAGGTTGATTAATGGGTTACTCGAACATCTTCAATTAGACACTGAAATAGATACTCAGATATTTTCAACATAAATTGGGATAGATGAACAAGAAAATGGGAATGGCCTTAATTCCTAGCTCATGAATTTTTCACCGTGAAGCTTGCTAACAAGGCATGCTAACAGTACAATATTCAAAATAGTAGCTTGTGGCTTGTTACAGGTGTAATCAACAATTTATAGTTGATATCCATCCAACACTCAAAACCCAAATGATGACAAGAAGCAGCACCATACTGTAGAGCTAAACTCTGAAGATAAAAGAAACAGCAGCAGAGATAAAATTCAAACCCAAAGCACAAACCATAACCACAAATCATGATGCTCTACACAGAAAGGCTCTGCAGCTTTCTAAGGCGTTTCATGGCTGAAGAAGGACTCTTAACTCCCTTCTTACTCTTCTTCATAGAGCTTGATTTCACCTTAATCTTTTTAACCGTGGGAGGGGTTTCCCTGATGGGTCCAGGTGGAACTCCTTTCTTAAGTGCACTACCTTTTGGAGTAACAGATGGTGGCAATCTCAAGCACTGTGGAGGCAACGGATTATTTGGCTTCCAGACCAGGTTACTCTTCATTGAAAATCTGACCTTCTTAACACTTTTCTCACCACTCTTTCCAACAGTCCCATTAGCAGTATTCCCACTCTCACTGGTGTTCGCATCTGCACTCTTCGCTCTTTTCCTCTTCTTTAGAGAAGGAACAGCAGAAGCTGTTGCCGGCAGCACACTAAACTGATCACCATCATTTGCCATACCTGCTTCAACAGCAGCATTCTCAAATTGTCTTTGAAGATTAGAGATCATGCATTCATTGAAATCAATCAACTGTTGGGTCTCCACCATATCCTCCTTCAAACTTGTACTATTAACAACATCGCTAACCTCACTTGCGATCTCGACAATCTTACGGTTCATAATTGAATCCATAGACTTTTTCTTTTTTCCAGTCTTACTCTTCTTCTTCTTCTTCTTGATTCCATCAGAAGCTTCCTTTAATTTCTTCAGCTTCTTAATGGGCTTATCATCTGAGCCACCATCAACAACTCCATTGTTCACCTCAATCTGCTCAGTGCTTTCTGAAATCACTACACCACTCATATTTCCTGAGCTCCCATTTTCCAACCGCTGGGCTGAGATATGAATTCCAGATTTTTGTAAATCGTTCTCCAACTTGAGAAAATCTTCATGCAAACAAAATAAGATTTTCCGATTCCCCTGAAGAGTCTCTGAAGCTGAAGCTGAATCGAAGAACATCTTTGCAAATTGTAGCAACAAAGCAAAATTTCCAAGTCTGTCGACTTCACTGCCCAAGTCTACCCGATTTCCAGCCTTCTCAACATTCAACAGCTTCCTTCCATTGTCGAGCAATCGGTCAAAAATATTCACCTTGATCTTATTCACCAGCACCTTATCAGTAGATTTCCCCACCACCAAAATGAAGGGCTTCAGCATCGAATCCAGAGTCTCCAAAGCGAGCGGAAGGAGATCTTCAATCTCATCCAAGAAGACCTCGGTGACGTGATAGTTAACGCCATTGGCCGGGTACCTATCCATCGCAAGGAGCGATTTTTTTGAAAGGATGCCGATCATCCGGGCCACGAGGTCCGGATTCCACGCGTTCTTCCTCAACAGGAGGAAGGCATGGCGGAGGAACTTCCGGATGAGTAGGTAGAACTTGTCGAGGCGGAGAAAGTCGATGCCGCCCCACTCACGGCGGATGGTGACGAGGAAGGCCTCAAAGTACCGTGCAGCGAGGGGCGCGGCAAGGGACTCGAGGAGAGCGGCAAGACGGCCGGCAAGGTCGACTTGGACTGGGAGCTTGTCGGCGTGCCAGACGCAGTAGAAGAGACCCTTCCAGATCTTGGCGAGGTCGGCGTCGGAGACGGCATCGTCGGTCTGGCGGCAGAGCCACGAGGAGAGCGCGCGAACGGCGCGGTCGCGGGCGGTTCTGTTGCAGGAGGCGAGGCGCTTCGCGATGACCGCCCCGGAGAGGGAGGCGTCCATGGGCGCCACCAGTTGAGGAACCCTCGATCTCAAACCCTAGGCGCTTGATCGAAACCCTAAGGGGGAAGAAAGCAACAAGTAATGCTAACCGGTGAGCGTACCGCCTCGAGTTATGTTTCGGAAAATGCTGTTATAACGTTACTCTTCCTTACATATATCTACCTTGTGATTGGAGGTAACAACAGTGGGGTCCATCTCCAAGAAAGGTGCAACGTTGGTAAAACACTTGTGCTAGGATTAGATATATAAACTTTATTTGGGGCCCACCGGGTTGTGTGGGCTATTCCATGAGTTAGTATAAATCTCCAATGCATTGCTTAATTGTATACATAGGAGGATTAAAAGGCATTTTATACAGGTTTATTGGCATATATTATTCAATTAAAATATTAAATTATCCTCATTTCTTCTTATCCATTTTATATTTTTGTGTCTTTATTTTTTTATTTATTCTCATTTATTATTATTTTAGAGCGGTGACCATAACCACGTGCTCAACCTTCCACCGCCCGCCCCTCCCATAACCGCCTCCGTCCAGCGATGGTTTCATCTCGCTCACCCGCCCGCCCTTCCCCCTCGTCGCCTCCGATCCCTCTTGAAATCTTCCAACAACAGGTCCTTTCACGGCCACAATCCCCGATCGCCCAACTTGCCTCGCTGACCAACTGGAGTCCCTCGCCGCCGCAGGTTTCTTGATTCGATACTGTTCCTCCACGCTCTTTTTCTTTGATTCGATACTGTTCCTCCGCGGTTAATGGAATGATGGTTTCAGTTTCGAGTATCTAAAATTACCCTCGATCATGTCTTGCCCCTCCCCTTCCGTGGCCTCCGATCCTTCTCAAGATCTTCCAACAACAGGTCCATTCACAGCCGCAATCCCCAATCGCGCACCGTGCCCCTCCTATCAAGTGGAGTCCCTCGCCGCCGCAGGTTTCTTGATTCGATTTCTTTTGCTTGCTTAACCTAATGGAATGATGGTTCCAGTTTCGCGTATCTAATCTTACCCTCGACCACTTCTTGCAATTCGTTTCTACTTGCATAATTGTCTTAAAGATCTTGCTTCGATGATCTGACAATTATATCAAGAACAATCTTGGTTGCTTCATGTGATTCCCAAGTTCATGTCACATCGTTAGGGAAATCTGACCATGGAGATAGTGCTATTAAAGGTTTTCAAACATATCATTTAGAGACAGAATATCGAATATGGTTCTGATTCGTGCTTTGGAAATTGCTCATTGCTAGTAACATTAAAGATGTGAGTCTGTATATATGTAACTGTTACCATATAGAACATTTATCCCACTATTCTTTTGTTTTATTACTCTGAACTTTAATTAGATTTCTGCATACAATGGACAAGTAACAAATTTGCTACCTCTCTCGGACATCATTTTCATCATAGTCTTGATTATTGCTGGATGACAATTTTTCTTTCCTTTGCACTGCCTGAATCAAGGGAAAAAATGCATCATGTATGTGCAGAACATGTTAGTATAACACACTGCTTGATGCCTGTAGACAAGCAAGCTGCTTCTGACATTCAAATTGATGCAGGAAGATGTCGTTATCTGTTTTTAGAAGTTCATATTACTATTGATATTTCAATCTGCTAATGCCTTTTGTGTTATCCTTATTTTCCTAATTGGCATTGCCTTGTTGCTCAACCTAGTATAAAGGTCAATTCATGTTGGAACTCATCTGATATAGGTTCTCAACCAGAGTAGGAAGCAAGAATAACGATAAGTGAACTCCAAATCTGTGCTATCATTGACAGCTACAGCTAATCAAGCTTCTTCAATCTTGGTATTCTTCTCATCTCCGCTGCCCCAAGCTTCTTCGATCTTGGTATTCTTCTCATCTCCGCTGCCCATAGGAGCGATTGGCCTATAGAGGCCTAGTGATACAATTTCTCCAAAGTTCTTTAAGGACATTTGATGGCAAATTTCGGATCAGTGATAAAAAATAGTTCCATTGTCTAGAGCCAACTAGATTATACCATCATATGCATTTTGATGTTGTTTAAAGCCTTTTATTTTGTGAAGGTAAGGTGTTGATGAAGAGTGCATTCCTGTCCAAGATATTAGATCCAAAATTTTATCTAGATTAAATTAGAAGGGATTTTTTAGATGTAATGGCAATGGATAACTTGTTCCAAAATGAATATTTTCAGAAAATTCTTTCCTCATTGTTAGATATGAACTAGGGATCTGAAGCGATGAACATTTGTTTCGAGTGTCTTCAGGTAATAATGTTGTTCTCAAAATCTCTATTTGTGCTTCAGATAGTGCGGGCAAAAACAAATTCCTTGGAGGAAGATGTCCTCCATTTTTAAAGCCTTGTATTAGTATTTAGATTTCAGATCCAAACCTGTGCTATCATCAACAAATGTACAACTAATCAACCTTTCTTGATCTTCATATTCATCTCATTTTTGCTGCTCATAGGAAGAGATTGGCCTAAAGAGGCCTTGATACAAGTCCTCCAAAGTTCTTTATGGACAATTCATTGCAAATTTCATATCAGTGATAACAGTTAGTTCCATCTACTACAGCCAGCTAGATTTAGACCATATATTGTTACTTCAGGAAAAGGTGGATATCATCCAAAATCATGCACATTTAGATGGTGCTTAAGGTGTTTTATATGGTGAAGGTAAGATGTTACTGAAGAGTGCAATCCTGTCCAAGACATTAGAACCAAAAGTTTATCTGGTTTTAATCTGAAAAGATTGTTTAGATGTAATGGCAATGGATAACTTGCTTCCAATATGAATATTTTCAGAAAATTTTTCCTTCATTATAGGTATGAACTAGGGATCTGAAGTGATGAGCATTTGTTTTGAGTGTCTTCAGATAATGATGGTCTTCTCAAAATCTTCATTTGTGCTCTAGTTGATTTGTTGTTCATCAAGATGAAATGATTTGTCTATAAAAACTTAAATGTTAAAAATGATTTTTTTTTTTAGTACTAACATATAGGATTCATATTAATTAAGTGTCAAATTCATGATGAAAAAATAATAATAATAGCAGCTGTGCTGGAACATGTAAGGTAGTAGTTTTCTTCTGAATTTGTAGTATCAAGCAGAATACTTTCAGCAGCCAACATATGAATTAAATGAATCAAAGAATAACAAGATTTGTTCTCTCTCTTTTCTATCAGGCAAAGGAGCACTCTGTAGGCAGGCCCTGAGGGAACCTCTTGAGGTCGCTGCAGTAGTTGTAGATCATGTAGTTCTTCTGCACCCACTTCATCTTCTCTTGGCCTGTGGTGTCCAGCTCTTGGCTCCACCACCCGCTGCTGCTGGGGACAGTGTCGGCCCTGAAGCTTCTATACGAGGCCGTGAACGGTGCCTGCGACCAGTCGGTCTTGACCAGGCCGCCTCTGGTAGCCCAGTCATCCGCGTTCCAGAGGCTGGAGTAGATCCTCATGGGCTGGTTCTTGGGGAACGCGACGCCCCTCGATTCCAGGTTCTTGAAGTCTCTGATCGGGATGCGGTCGACCATGAAGCTGCAGAGGAGGCGACAGAGTGTGAGATCGACATCGACGGCGTACCGGAACGAAGCTGGGCAAAGCATGGACCGGCGGGGTACTCACATGATATGGCTAGGGTTCCAGAGGATGGTGTAGGTGTGGAAGTCCGCGGTGGGATCAAACCAGAGCTTGAACTGCATCTCCCTGTTCCCCTTCCCTTGGGCGAACACGTTGGTGTGGAGGGTGTAGGGATCTCCGCTGACATTTCCGAGGAACTCGAAGTCGATCTCGTCATGCGTCGGCCCTTGCGAGGACAACTGCAGGCATCAAGCGACACGGCGTCGAACACTTAGTTGCAGAAGATTCAGAACGAAGGAAGAAGAGAATGTACGATGAGAAGGGCAAGGAGGGGCATACATAGTAGGCAGTGACGGTGCCGGCGGAATTCCCCGGAACGAGCTTGATCTGCATGTCGATCTTGCCGAAGAGGTACTCCTTCTTCGACTGGAATCCCGAGCCCGAGGCCTTGTCGAGGGTGAGGGTGAGGAGCTGGCCGCTCTCGAGGACCTTGGCGCGGCCGTCGCCCCAGATGATGTCGAACTCCTGGTCGAAGTTGCCGGCGGCGGCGATGGCCAGCAAAGAGGAAGCTATCAGCAGAAACCGCATCGCCATTGTGAGCAACACAAGTAGCAGCAGTAGTAGCTGTAAGCAAGAGAAGTGGAGAGTGGGTGATGGGATGAGTGAGGTTTGGAGCTGTTTATAAAGGGGGAAGAGAAGAGGAAAGAGAAAGCCATGGTATAGGTTGGGAATGGACTGGAGAGTGCCTGTGGAAAGAAGGTGGTGAGGGGTTTCGCATGGCCAGCTTGCAATTGCACGTCCAATGGGGATCTGCTGCTTAAAGTTGGTGCAGTGCCAGCGAGTAACGCAGCTTAATTAGTATGCTCCATGCAGTTCTTTATAGGACGCGCTTGAGACAGAGGTGTTCTCCAGCTGTTGGTGGAGTGGACGCGTTGACAGTCTTCTTTGATCATTTGGTGGGCAGGATTGGAATCCGGAGGGGAAGAGACTGTGAAGGGGCAGGTGCATAATAATAATGATGATGATAATTATTATTATTATCATTATGATTATGATGATAGCGAATTTTTAAAAAATATATTTAATTTTGAGAAATTTTTAGAAAGTATCCTCGTTTTAAAAAAAATATATAGTTTTTTTTCTTCGTAAATTGATTTTGTCATTGGTCAATAATAATTATAATCATAATGATGATGCTAATATCAAATTCCTAAAAAATATATTTAATTTTGAGAATTTTTTAGAAAGTATCCTCATTTTCAAAAAAGAAATTATAGTTTTTTTTCTTTGTAAATGATGATTTTTTCCTTGGTCGCACTTGTCGTTGATTGCCTTCGCACTTGCACATGTTGATCATGCCTACGCCTATGTCATTGGTCGAGCCCTAATCGCCTACACTTACGTCGTTTGCTCGTCTTAGCTCAAGCTGTCATGGATGATCGTTATATACTTGTGACACCTTCGTCAATAGATCATTCGTCGTTTTTGTTTATTTGTACATATGTTTAGAAGCATGTTTTGATTTGTTTGTGTGTTTTTGTTTGAAAATTATGAGCAAGAACAGTTTGCGCAATTGCATAGCTATCCCTTATCATAATGAGTAAAATTGCTCCGGAATGGTTCAGTTTTTATATGTCACGGCCTATTTTCACCATCATAGTACCTTAGAAATCCCAAGTGATACAAGGTTGGATAGAGGTTTGACGTAATGTTGGATATTGATTGGATTCACAAATTCGCGCATCAAGTCTATAAAAACTTACTAATGCACCTGGGTGAGTAGTCGTTTGTAGACTTACGACTATTTATTTGTCTTCTAAAATTCTTATTTTCTCATTTCTCTTTTATACACTAAGCGTTTGTTGAATTGCTTGTAAAGCTATCTTTTTTGCGGGACGTCGGGACTTGTTCATCGCTTGATCACGAACTAATCAATTTTTTCTTTTATAATTCCTTTGGGATCTATGCAAGGTTGCAACTAAGTTGACTCTTTAAGGATATATAACGTAAAAATATTTCATGACTTAAGTAATTCCAACTAAGTCTGTGACAAGGTAAACCTCTAGCCGCCTCTTCCGATGGAAACGAAGCGCAAAATAATGTAAGAAAAGGTTCCATGGAACTGCAAAATGATCTTTGTATGCAAGAAAAGGTGTTGGTGAAAATTTTTGAAAATGAAGGTGCTATAAGAATTTCATAAAATTAATTTTTTTATAAAAATAATTCTACTACTACTACTAATAATAAAAATAATGTTTTTGTCTCCAATATTCTTCAAATAGAATAAAATATAATAATATAAAGAAGAATAAAATAGGATACATGTTCAGATTTTTAGGTGATTCAGTAGTAATGCTAAGGAGACATGGCAACTTCAAAAAGGTTCATGGTCTTTTGCCACAAATACAGTTATAACCATTTTGGATGCTCTAATTTGTTAGTACGTAATTCTAGTTTATTAAACCAGATAAGAAATTTTATGCTGGTTCAAGTGACAGAAACATTACTAGCATCACTTGCACAATCACTTAAAAAGGGCTGCTCAAGAAATGCCACAAGATAACTATTACACTAATTGCTACTACATCAAGATTACTAGTATTTTATAAGACAAAAACCTTTTGTATCACTTTATAACTTTTCACAGCACCCACTCCATGTTTCATTCAACCTTTCAAGAATGTTGTCTTTGATTTCAGGGCACAAAGTCGTAACATTAATTTCAACATTGAAATGTTTTAAACATGGGCATAGCAAATAATAATTACTCTCCAATAAACCAACAAAGACAGCTAGCCTAAATATATCAGTCATTTTGGAAAGCCTAGAATAAGTTCATTCAAAGAACTACATGGATCTACATGTGCTGACACCTGCTTACTTGACGGTGTTAAGAGAAACCGTCATCATCATCGAGGAAATTTTCATTGTCATCACTGTCTTGTTCGAAGATCTGGTATTCACCATCACTGTCGCCGGCACCTGCGGCATCATCAGGTCGCCGATCCTTGGATTCTTTGTTAAATGGGAATCCCCGTAGGAGCTCCTCCAGGTAATCATTCGATATCTGCTCTCCCAGGTTACCTGCTTCATATACAGGAAATTCCTTATCATCATAATCGGCATTGTAAAGATGCCAAAGCAGTAGAAACCTTACAACATCCCACAAGAAAACATCATTTTTTGTGCTCGCAGAACACCAAGTAAAGGAAGACATGCACATACACGTATATATTAACATGTCATACATATGAAAAAATGAACTGAATCATAAACCTGATATTTTATCGTATCTTCCAATGGCAGTTTATTTTAAGTATAAAATATGTTTGTATAACCACACAACAAGGTCCATAAAAAGCACAGGTTTATATTTACCTAAGTTTATTTATTACATCTAATGAATTTGTCCATCTTGTTTTCAACACTACAAAAACACAATTAAAGTAACTTGATTTTCTAAATTCAGAAATGTGACTGGTGCCGCAGAATGGTTTAAGATGAGGTTTCAGATAGCATACTAGATGAGAACAGCTGTGACAGAAATCTATAAACTTATATCCATAATATAACAATTCATCTGCACCATAAATAGCTTTAAGGAGACAGCACGACAGCAGAGAAGAAATCCCAAATTATGACATAGTTATCGTGGTACTTTCAAATTAGAACCATGCCGGTCATATGTTGCACATGTGACTCAATCCAATCACAAACTGCATCTTAGTAAGCATCATGAAATTTTGCTCATGGCATACCAATCAATTGAAGTGATGCTGCAAATATAGACGTGTAGTGTTTATATAAGCTGGTTATGCCTTATCTACAAATATAATTTCAGATCTAACAACATGTAACTAGCAGTGCTAGCTAACCCTTGTCATGTAGGGACACGTAACATGATCATAGAAATATGCAAGCATTGATCTACATTAGAAAGAAAAGATTGAAGCATAAACCACATCTAGTTCAACTCTCATTGACAAACATTATTCCACTGGAATAATAAAAAAGGTTGTTAAAAAACTTTGGTCAGGTAAAATGATTCTATATGTGAGATACAAAAGAGCTTGAAGGATACAGGAGGTACCACCATCAGGAAAAAACCCATCTTCGCATGCCTACAGAGGGAAAAGACAAGCCAAAGTTAATTGAAAAACTAAGACCAAAGAGAAATTTACAGAGAATAAATAAGTTAAGACTTAATATATTACAGGTGGGGATTCATATCCATCCAATTCCTCTTCCTCTTCTTCATCCTCAATCTCACAGTTATCTGTCCTGTCTGGATCCATATGTCCATGTTCATTAGATTGAATAGACGTCACCTCAGCAGAACAAGTAGTATCTGCAGATAACAAATTAGGATCCAATGTTTCATCACAAATCAGTAAAATATGGCATATATCTGCATTGCTATGATCAGCTAGGTAAGGTCTCAATACAATGGAAGGTTATGAAAACAACCTCTGTTTACAAGTTGATCTTCCTTTTCAGATTTTTGAAGTCTGCTTAAGGCTCCATTTTTCTTGGACCTCTCAAAGAGCTCACGGGTATAATTTGTCAGCTGCTTTGCAGCATCATTAGGATATAGCGACAGAAACCTAATACTCACATGCAATCTCAGGGTTCTAAGAATGGCCCCAGAGAACCAACCTGTTGTGTGCTACAAACAAATTAGTTAGGTGATTATGCATGGCAAAAAGGTTCCAAAAAAAATGCAGTATTTGAGATGCTAAATTCTCAATTTTGACACAAACAGGATGTATGACCACTAGAAGCAACACCAGCCTTTACAGTGAATGAATTACAAAAGCGGACAACAGATTATCATGTCTATTCATATATCAAAGAGGCGAGGGTGGGCTTTAGTACAACGGTAACCTCTCTATATTCAGAGGTAAGGCTGCATACATTACCAGTCCCAAAACCCCGCATGGGTATGCCCATATGTCAAAACCGAAAATTGATTTTTTCCAGGTGCCAGATGGCATAGTTAGCTGGATAGGATGCTATGACACAGATGAAGAGGCAGCATCTTTCCCTAACTAGAAAACATAGCCCATGTATTATCATTTACCAACTTATGTTGACTGCAACTCTACTAGCATCATGTGTTGTGAAAGAAAAATTGAAAATATGGGAGTTCAACTACAAATACCTACAAGAACATGGAAACTAAAAACAAAAGCCATTGATAATTTAAAATGAAATCATGACAGCAATTTGACATGTCCCTACTGACATTAAATACATGTAGTTGCATGTCACAAAATCACAAACTATATATTTAGATAAGCGTATATAACATCATGCTCAATCAAGATGATCTGGGTCTCTTAGTATGAGCCAGCATTAAACAGGATGAACTGAATCAATTTAAATCTAAAGTACCACCAAATTACAGCTCTTTGAAGAATAACAAATTCACAGCCATCGGCGTGTACAAACAGATAACCACTCAACATGAAAAATGCCAGAACTTACTGAACAGGCTGTCTGCCTCGTAGGTTTTCTAATTTCTTGCTGAATAAAGTCATCATCTAGTTCAAAAAGTTGTAAGCAAATAAAACTCTTAGACGGCCATACTTTAAAGTGACAGAGCTCCTTCTGAGTCTGCTTTAACCTGTTGGCAAAACAAAGCAGTACGAGTAGCGGAAGTTATAAGAACTGGAACATATTCAAGCTTAGGTAATTAGAATCAAAGAAAAAGATGTTTCATCAAATTAAATAAATTAACCAAACAAGTATGATGGATGCAATGAACTCTTGGTAATCTTCAGCCATGAAAATTAGAAAGGAAACGGGTTCCAGTATTGCTAGTATTTGTAAATTGCAAGTCTTTTTTATCTAGGAAATGAGATTTTATTTGTTCAATAATCTAACCAACTCAAGGCATCAAGCACACAGTTGAAGCATTATATTAAACTTGACATCGGCCAGTCACTCCCTTATCTAGCTATCAGAAGTTAATAAACTTTCCACAAATTTGCATATATATGATATCCAATAAAATTTTCCTTCTTTTCTAAGGCAAGAGATTTGACGATCTTTTAGATATAGGTCTAAGTTGCAATATATACGATACATGAAAAAATGACAAAAAAATATCACTACAGAATAAGTCATTACTATTTTAGTAGATATAAAGTTTTGCGAGTAGTTAATATTGATAGAGGTTACTGTAGTCTAGCTGTCACACTTACCTAGTCAAAAGCTTTAAAGTTGGTTTACAACAATTCAAGTTTCTATTGTTCATAAAGATAAGAAACATCAAAGACATCTTAACATATACACATATTTTTTAGATACACAGATGTTGGTCGGTATCATAGATATTCATAATCAATGTAGTCATATTTCATGTGTATATACGATATATAACCTCATTTCACATGTATCATTAGTGTTCACCTATACAACATCCATGTATAAGACTATATGTACAACCATACATAACATCATTTACAAATATATGCTACCATATATAACATATTTGACTTAAATTTGCAAATTTGCAATTACCATCAGATAGCACACTTACTATCAATGTATGCTTTTAAATGCATATTAATATTTACACAAATAAATCATTATTTAAATCTCTTAAAATTACATATGAAGGATATCTCCCAAGTTATGGTGGCATAAGATTGTACGACTTAAAGTCCCTAGACGTGCCTTCATGTTGTGGTTTGCTATCAACATGAAGCTGCAAACTCGTGATTCCTCAGCTAAAAAAATTGTTTGACAGCAATCTGAAAGCATTTACTGACAAAGTAGTATTGAATCCATATTATATACATTCTTTCACTGCCTTGTCACTAAGAGAATCTGCAAAGAGATCCTAAGGTTATATAATATCAGCAAGCTCTTCACAGGTAAATCTCTTGTAAATAGAACAGGAAAAGTATCAGGCTGCTGTAATTTTTAAGTCTTAAGTCTTAACCAGAAAGAATTACAGGACATTTCAGAAATGTTGCTACTCAGATAAGTAACATAAGGATGGAATCAGAACTTAATTCAGTTCATTACACAGTGGTTGATAAATAACATAAGGATGTGTAACCTTTGAAAGTCTATATAAATGCATGCTTTTGTATACACTTTAATTTTCAACCCTCCATATAGAAAATAGCTAGAAATCTCATTTTGATAAATCACAATTTACCCATCTTCACCATCACCAAATTAAGCAGAATGTACTTGAATGCCTACAACATTAGATAGATATTTCCTTGTTTGAAATTATATAATTTTTTTTCTGTAAAGAAAAATGAAAGTATAAAAAAATAGCATGATATACAGCTACTAATTATAAACTAGGATATACAGGAAACAGTTAAAACTCACTCAGTCTTTGCAATCTTATCCTCAAGATTTCTTAATTGAGGTGGTACTCGGAAATCAACCTTTTGGAATCTGTTTAAAGACATTTTAGAGCATGTTAAAAGGAAATATATATATCACTTCAACCAGGTTGCAAAAATATATATATAATTTGGACTTCACATGAATTTTCAGGATAAAATTATAATGTCTTTTTATTTCATTCAACAAATCCAAGTGAAAGAAGGCTAGCATTTCATAATGATAAAAACATCCAACATAAAAATATTTACCAGAAAAAGGGTTTTCATGTCAAATATAATGTACAAGTTCTATACTACAATATGTATATAACTGAAGCTGCAATTTGTTATTATATTAACAAAACAATATGCTTGTGAAAACAGATGATACAAATATGCAAATAGGTATGCTTCTGAAGTATGCAACGATGCAATTAGATGGGGAAGGGACAAACTATAAATGATTAGCAAAAAAAGTGTAGTAGTTGAAAAACAATAGTAGAAGGCAGCACAATAAATGAACCAAAACATGTCAAAAAATTAGACCATGAATCAATAGCATGCTCGTAACAATCAAATGCTTGTACTCAGGAATCAGGAGAACATTACACATTACTTATAATGATGTGCATTAGCTGGTCACAGAAAAGTTCTAAATTAAATTTCTGATCCCACATGGAATATCAGCTAAATCACAAGTAAAATAATATAAAAGCAATGGAAAGATGAACAGACAAGACATATTATGGGATAATCAATCTTAGGGTCGACAAATCTACCACACCATACTTATGCGGTCAACAAATCTACCACACCATACTTATGAATGACCGATAAACACTTGTAGAGTGAAAAAATGTAAAGCTATATCACCATAGTCCTTCAGTTGTAACATATGGAAACCTTCTAAGTGCACCAGAAAGCATCTTGCAGACTACTAGAATATCCTCACAGAAAGACAAGCATACACAACATATGTAAGCGTAATTTCTTACATGCGTGACTCAGGATCAGTGCGAGGATCATAACCTTTCCTGACCCAGAAACGACCATATGGTCCAGTAGAAAAGTAGTATCCAGCTCTAAAAAGAAGCCTGAACAAACAAGATAGCATGAACATGAATTTAAGAACATATGACATTGGAAACAGGAAGCAAAGAAAGTATATAAAGATAACAGAGTAAACCAACACAAACTTTGAGAACAACTTGTCAACTAATTATTTAAAATTCTGTTGTGAATAAAATTCTTAAAAAAAGGAATAGAAAGACCTTTTCAGCTGGTTTTCAGAGACCTGCTGGCCATCATCCAGCAAGCGCTCATGAAACGACCATCTGGGCCATATGGGTTTTTCATCAAAAAGTTTTGATACAGCAACTTGCCACTCCCATTCAGGATTGTCTCTTGAAATGTGATCTTCCCAGTTGAACTTTTCAGGAATTCTTATGTACCTTAAGTTCCACAAATAACAAGAACTCGAGAAATGGAAGTTGTAGAAAAAAAAACAAAGCAGAACTTGCTACATTTCAGATATAACATGTATATTATTACCATTTCATACTTATCTAAGCTAAAGTAATCTATTAGAAATACTACAACCAGATTACAAAACTCACATCATTCTAAGCTGTTACTTGTAGCTTCATCAGTATATAGCTATTGAGCTCAATGTTAGAACCTTTTTTATCATAAGATTTCTATAACCTAGATGGAAACTATCAACAACCAGAAGCCTAATTTAGAAGCAAAATTTAAAAGCAATCTGTCTAAGTTAACATAAAAAGTGTTCAGATGACCAGTAAACGTCAGGAAAACGGATAACCATTAATGATCATAGGGAGGATGACTTGAATCAAGCCTTTATGTGGTCACTGACAAAAATAATAAATATGGTTGTACATATGTAAAACTTATTTGAAGGCAAATTTCCAAGAAACAATAAATCATCATTTAAGCTGTTAATCATACGATGCTTTTGAGACTGTAAAGGAGGAGAGTGAAAACAATAAATCCTAATTGCAATTTTATGCCTTCTGGAACAAAGAACAATGCCAAGAAAAGAATGAACTTTTGACCTCTTTAGGGAGTGATAAATCTCAAGAAATATTAATCATGCTTATCCATTGTAAGTTTGTGATTCAATAGAACAACCCTATAGATTCAATTTATTCACCATCCTAAAGCTTAGATGAATATTCCTGCCTAATTAAGTGTTTGTTTAAACTATTTACTAAACAATACAAATTGAGAAGAAAATTTTCCTTGTTGGTTGGCAAAAGTAGAATGGCTCAAACAATTACTATGAGAATTATTCTCAAATTAATTGATAACATTATTAATGGAAAAAATGATACAACAAGCTCATATGAAGGCTTAAGGGAAATAAGGCCAACAAGGATATTTTCTATGTCGAAAGGTATTGCAAGGCACCGCTCAATGTTTATCTGCAATGCAAAAAACACGAGGCCAATTGGCATTATTTTCTCATAAGCAGACACTATGCATAAAATATGAAAGATCTAAGTTCCTAAGTTACACAAAATTTGACAGCTATTTAACATAGAAAAGATTTAGCAACTTGACAATAATGAACTCCACTACATTTACAGTTGATAAACAGCCAATATCTCCAACAGGAAGACAATAAGAAACTATACATCAAGAAATGCATGCATCTATTTGTAAGATATAACATATAAAACTCGCACAATAGGAAAACCTTTTTAAATATCTTCTCATTGGCAATCACAGGGTAAATGTCTAATTTACAGGATATGAGTTGTATGTGACTCTTTGTCAGTGGCACAGTAGTTGTCAAATTTTATCCTTCTCAAAAATGGGTGTATTTCTTGTTCTAAAATGACTTATTGCAGCTGGCTGTGTTTGTTAGCCTTGGTATTGTCTTATGTATTACTTGTCATGACATGCTCACTGGTGACATGTCTTAGTATTTTTGTGATGTAGTGGTTATTTTTGTGAGTTTGATGACGGAGATTTTCAGTTCATATTGCAGGGACATCTTAGTGCACCTTCATAGAGATGTAGTGGTTATTTTTGTGAGTTTGATGACTTCTTTTCAGTTAGAGATGTACTACCACTACTACTACTATAACAACAACAACAACAAGATATATCTCAACTACTTAGGTTGGTTACATAGATCTTTTCCTGCCACTTACAGCAATATCATTAGTCAAATTTAGAGCAATCAAATCTCTTTTTCGTGTTTCCAATAAAGTCTTTGTGGGTCTCTCTTCACCTCCCCTCCATCATTAACTCTAGTTGACTTAAAACTAAGGCATCAATAGGCTTCATAGAGCATGTTAACACCATTTAAATAGTATTCCCTTATTTTATTGTATATCAAATTAACATAGTTATAGAGAGAGTCTTGGTACAATAGAAAGGATGCTTCTTTGCAACCTAGATGATCAAGTTTCAAGTAACAAAATAGTCTCTACACTTATAGGGGTAAGGTTGTGGAGCAGTGGGTCATCCTTTTTATTGTAGTACACCAGATTGCTAATGGTTGTAAACCATTTCTTATCTTTTTCTTTTCTACTAGACTCATCCATCTCAACTTCCTATCTTGGCAACACTAAACTTTTGTGCATGTTTCCTAACTATCCGACCTTCCAATCCAAAAAAAGAGGAAACAGTGTTAGACAAAAAAGGGAAAAAAATGCATGAAAAGGAACTAAATGCTAATTGAAGATACCTCCCACTTGTGCTCCATGACTCCTCTTTGAATGTTTTTTGAGAACAAATTTGCTGGTGGGTTAAGCCTATATACATGAATAGATAGAAAGAACACATGGTGAATGTGGATATATAACTTGAAAAATAGATAAGTAGACAACTACAGAAAATTCTCAATAATCATAACAATGATGAAAATCACCACAACCATTAAAAAAAACACAAAGCCTTGATGAAAATGGAAAAAAAAACCTTTAAAATTATAAGTAACTATCAAAACATAACTCTGTCTCAAGTCTGAGATTTTCAAGATGTATGCATATTCGGTATGTTGATCCACACTCCATTAAATCACTAATGTGTCTTCAATGTCTCCACTTTAGCATGTCAGTGATAACAAGTTTCTTTTATGCAAAGATAGACATGAATTGGGAACGCCATCAGAGATGCCAATAGAAGAAACAGAATGAATTTGAACATTGGTGTCAATGGGAAGACAGTACTTGCACCTAAAGGCAGATGAAATCGTAGCAATTAAAATAGTTAAGGGTATTTCATTCATATAAATTAACAAAAAATTTCTAGAAGGTGAATGATGTTTGAATAACTGCAAGGACAAACATACTAAAGATGTGAAATTCATCTATGTCCTGGATGAGAAGTACAGGATGATAGTATGGATTAAAGAAGAAGGAAATTTGTATGCCAAGAAGAAAATTTAAAAAAAGAAAAGACAGGGTCAATGCCAATTAAAAATTCATGATCATGTTGCCATAGCAGCTATAAAATATGGAAAGTGCCACATACAGGAAAACAATATGGAATGGAGTAATTCATTCCTTCTTAAGCTCATAAGTAGTTCCCTGATCAACTGGTGAATTAAACATTAAAATGATAAGATATTACCACAACACAATTAAAACATCTTACACGATTTTCTCCGGTCTATCCTTCAATGAGAAGAGTGGTGGCACCATCATCATTACGTCTGCTCCATCCATGTCCATAGTGCCAGCATTTTCTGCACATCAAAAAGATGAATGGTTTATTATCAAAGAGCATAGCATCAGAAAGTTCTTGATATTAAAAATAAAACTGAATGCACGCGTTCAAACTATGGTTCCAGGAACAATCATGAGGTAAAATCCAGAAACACCAAAGTACCAGTACCTGGGTCTGATGCTTCATCCGGCGCCCAAGGTCTCTTCTTTCTTCTCGCCTCTGCAGCATGGACGCCAAGAACATGCTGGTAGTCCACCATTCCTGGGGCATAGTCCAACACAACTGTTAAGCATAAACACCATAAAAGAAGGAAGAGCAAAGGCCCTTTTTTCTGGGACAAACAGGTAATGGGCAGAACCAGAGCCAGGCCCACCTTCAAAATGGTATGCATGGTTCACCCGTGCAACGACCTCCGCTGACAGGCTCTCTGCTGGCGGAGGCTCCGCGCTGTGTCCGCCTTCACAGGCTCCGCCTCGGGATGCATGTTCTCCTCCCCTAGGTTTGCAGAGTCTGAGGAGAAGACCGGTCGAGGACCGGAGTTCACCGAAGGCCGGGTGGGAGTAAGGGTCCTCGGGGCGGAAACGAAGCTCCAAATTCCCGGTCTCCGAACTCCTAACCTATCGAAAGGAAAAGCTAACATTCTTTGAGCCATCATAGGCAAAAGGAAACAAGGACAGATCAAATCTTTAAGGGCAACAAGAACCTTAGCGATCTCGGGGAGGCCGCCAAGTGTCTCGATGGCGCGAGCGGTTGATGAAGGGTAGCCGGGGTAGTGGACGGCGAAGACCGCGGTCTCCGGAAGCACACCGGAGACGGCTCCGTCTCTGATGACGGAGGAGGTGGAAGCTTCCCCCGGGGCGTCGCCCATGGCTTCGACGAGAAAGAGGTGGGCTCTTGTGGTCGGTCGACAATGATAGGGTTTTAAGAGCTACGCGCCCGACCCGATGCTTTAGGATCCGCAACTCAAGATTAACGGGCTTGTACCAAACAAATGGATCAATCATATTGGGTCGGGTTTGTCTTACATAACCCTTTCATCGGGTTCGAGTTCGGCCCAGGTCCGATTAGAGAAACCGGGACCCATAAAAAGTCATCATCCATTTCCTGGGTGATTCAATCGTGATAAGAAGCACGGTTCCTTCCCCTCCCTTCGACATGCCCGTGTCTGCGTCGTGACTCCAATCGTTTCTCTTTGTTATAAAATGAATTCGAAAATCTTAGTAACTAAAAATAAAAAGTTAATTCTATTATGAATTAATTTTTTTATGATATTATACCAACCATCGACAATTCGATATACTTAAATTGACATATATATATATATATATATATATATATATATATATATGCACGTAAAATAAAATTGTGAGATGTTCTGTTTGGGGGACCCATAAAATCTAATAGCTTGAGACACGTAATACCTTCATGGCTGGTAGCTAATATTCTCTAATTACACATCTAAGTATAAGCTTTCACCTCACAAACTGCTTCAAACATGACCTGGTCTTTCCCTCCCCGAAGTAGAAGAACACGGTGCTGGGAAACCCGACTTCTTCTCTCCTCCCCTCTCTCGCTCTCTCTCCCTACTAAAACCATTGCCACCACCTGCTGAAATAAAATTGGATCTGAGTTGTGAGAGAGAAATAGGAGGCATGCATGACTCTGAGAGATCCATGCATTATTGATTGATCCTGTCAAGGTAAAGGTTTATTCACCATGTTAAATCTTTCTGTTCCTCTTATTACTGCAGTTTTCTTGTAACTGAAGTCCAAGAATTTGATGATACAAGTGATCCTTCTCATCGTTATCATGATTGTGTCCGAATCTGATCAAAGAAATTTTGTGATAATTTTTTCTATTTGTTTGAAGTCGAGCACAAACAATGCTCATTCACATTTCTAATCTTTTGTTTCTCATCATGATGCATTCGGTAGCCATGGCTACATCCAAGCCAAGCACTCCCCTCAAAGAAAAGAGCAAGCTGGTCTCTTCAGCTCACAGCATCACCGGTGACTCGCGCCGGCTACGAACCTCTAAATCATCGGTCCCGAGCTCTCCTGAAAGAGAGATTCGAAGAACCTCCAAATCATCGAGACCATCATCGGTCCCGAGCTCTCCTGAAAGAGAGATTCGAAGAACCTCCAAATCATCGGGACAATTATCGGTCCCGAGCTCTCCTGAAAGAGAGAATCGAAGAACCTCCAAATCATCGGTCCCGAGCTCCCCTGAAAGAGAGACTCATCCACCACAGCGCAAGGCATTGATCAGATCGAGCAGTGACAGCACCAAAAGAGACAAGAGCCTTCCCCAGCAGCCATCTGGTGGCGTTGCCAATGTCACCAAGCCGCGCCTGCTGGCAAAAAAGCCGCAGGAGAAGCCTCCGTCGCCTTCCCTCCAGCCACACAAAATGCCCGCGACGAACACCGTCAAAGAGAGACCATCGATCAGGGCCTCCTCCTCCTCCTCCATGCCACGAGCTGCAGGATTTTCGAAGCCAGCCAGTGCTACAGACAAAGAAGCAAGAACTCACGGTGTCGGGCGGACTCAACCATCTGTAACGGCAAGAAGCCCAGGGAGTGTCATCTCCATGAGAAAGGAAACCAGGATGACTACTGCAAGTACGGATGAAAAACTAGGTGTTACAGAGCAGGAGCATAAGGAGGCACAAATCCACATTGAGGAACACGAAACTGGGCCAATCATTCCTGTTGAGGAGCACGAACATGAACCAGTCGTTGAGCAAGATCAAACAGAGGCACAAATCCACGTTGAGGAACACGAACCCGGGCCAGTCATTCCTGTTGAAGAGCACGAACATAAACCAGTCGTTGAGCAACATCAAGCAGAGGCGCAAATCCACGCCGGGGAGCACGAACCTGAACCGTCTGTTACAGCAGAGCAAGATCAAAAGGAGGCAGAAATCGATGTCAAAGAGCATGAAGATCTCGACGAGACCAACGACATCGTCGAGGAAAAACCTGACCTACAGGAACCAAGGTCTCCGAGGCAAGAACCTGAGCCCACAGTGAATGATGATGGACATGGTGACCATCATGAAGAGATCAATGTGCATCATCATGCCAACGAGGAGCTCCTGCAAATCTCGGAAGAGAAATCGGCAACCGAGACCATCGAAGAGCCTCGAGGTGAACAGTGTGAGACTGAAAACACACAAGATGACGCAGAGGAGGACAAGAGTGTGGTGGCAGAATCGACCACCACCGAGAACGTAGAAGTTGACGCAGAGGAAATTTGTAAGGCTGCAAATGAGAAAGCAGTGGAGTCGTCGCCGGCGGTAGCGGCGTCCAAGAAGCCCGCGGCGATGCAGGGGAAGAAGAAGGAGGCGCAGATGAGCAACGACGTGATCGAGGAGACGAGATGCAAACTGTTGGAGAGGAAGAAGAGCAACGTGAGTGCTCTGGTCGGAGCGTTTGAGACCGTCATGTCCATGCAAGACCCGGAGGGTCAAACTAGTCAAAGACAGTAGAACAACTCGGTGGAAGAGTCAACAGTCAACGTAGAGTCCATGAACGCAGTTGGATCCTATTACTATAAGGAAACATCAGTAATTTCAGTACTATTTTTCATAGTTCTTTTTTTAATGGGGATGAATAATCTTGCATGATGCACGATGAAGATGCATACTTCATGGAGTTGAGGTATTTGGCGTTATTGTCAGAATTGTCGTGCATTTTTTATCTTTTTGTAATTAATCATTATAGGTATTTAAAAATCTATACTTTAAATCTACTAGTAGTCATGCATTATTGTTGTTGTTGGTGGTGGTGGGAGCATCTCGTGCTGAATGCAGGGAGAAAGATGACGAAAGTGTTAGAACAAAACGCAGTCCCTTCTCACGACCATTACGTGGCCGCGCCGGTGGTCAACAACCTCATCGATGTGATTCCGGACGAGAGATGAATGGAACAACACATCCCGCGGAGGAGGACAAAAGATGCGGTAATGTGACAAGAGAGGCAGGAGGCTGGATAAAGATGGAGGCGATGGAGAGGAATGGGACTGTGTGATGACGCGCGGCACGAGGCAACGTGTTGCCATCTCCACGACGAGGGTAGGTGGCGCTCTCCCCCCTTCCGCGCGCCGTTCTTAAGCCTCCTCCTCCTCGTCATTCCTACTCTCAGGGCCAGCGAGGCGCATGGATTGGTGGCAGCGCATGGTTGTGCTGCCGGCGAAGAGAGCCCTCGTCGCCGTCGCCGCCCGTGTCAGGACCAGAAAGGCCGGCAAGTCTCTCTCTCTCTCTCTCTCTCTCATCCTGCAATCTGTGGACATGACGTGAGAACAGTGCGCTCATTGGTGCAGGACGCGGCATGCTGGTGAAGCTTCGCAACGAGGTGCAGACGTGCGGGTACGAGGACGTGCAGGTGATGTGGGAGATGCTGCAGAGGTCGGCGGCGGAGCTCGCGGGAGCTCCAAGGGGCAGCAAGCAGACGCCGGCGTGGTCGCGTCGGACCTCGTCGTCGTCGGCACGGTCGGTTCCGCGGCCGCTGTGCCATGAACGGAGAGGAAGCAGATCGTACTAAGACCCTGCATGGCCTTCGATAAGGTTGACTGAGATGTATTCAGTGCGTTCTTCTGCTACCTTCGTTGTTTATATGATCCCCCGGAAATGAGTGTTCTAAACAAAGAACTAATAGCTTATAACATGATCAGAATTCTTTAGATTGAACATAACAAAGTAATAATCAACCAAAATAGCTTGTAATTGAAGCATCAAGCCAACCAGATCAGACCCATAATAATAATAATAATAATAAGAAGAAAGAAAGGATAGCATTATGGAGTTCCATCATAGCTTGTCCGGATGACAATAATGCATTTTGGAATCATCTTCTCAAATAATGCCTGGAAGTATCATATATTTGGAAATACTAGCCATTGACTGAGAGAAAAAGTAACTAGAGTTGATGGGGTTCCGGTGTACCGGCAATAAGGTGGTGATGGTCCCCGTGAGGACTGTGTTCTTTACTACAGGCAGAATGAGATGAATCATCCACGTAGCAGCCGGCCATGTCCGGCATGCACAGATTAGGTTGGTGGCGAGGACAAAGAGGATTAATGGCAAGGCTCCAAGCACTGCCTTGTCGTGGCTTCCATTTCTATCGTTCCAGCGGAAGTAGCTACTTCACTAGTTCTGAGCTCCTTGTCAGGTTCTTTGCATTTGGAAGATATCTCAATGGAGACAGTGCAGACGGAAATCCGTCTTCAAGAAGAAAGGGCATTAAACTGTTTCCTCTGTTAGATGTGATATTTCATACCTAAACTGAGCTTGATCTGTATGCAACACTAAAGAATCAATTATAGGATCCATCTCAAATAAGGCAAAACGATGAGAGGTTCATTTAGACGATTCTTTACAGCTCGGAGAGATTGCACCAACGAAGATTAGTGATACGATAAGATCAGATGACCTTTTTGTCCATATGAAAGTCACATTTAGTAGTAGGAAAGTCAACTCAGAGAACTCGCACCACTAATGCAAACACTAATTAATCTCTATGTCTTGGAAAAAATAATGACCTTTTAGATCACATCAAAAAATTCAGACTTGTATTGAAGCATTGTGCTGCTTGTAATCCTTTTCGTCTCTCTTGCAAGCAATCCTCTTCTCCCTTAGGAAGGCAGTGTGGAGTGAAGGAGAAGAAGGATATCAAAGGGAACATGATGTGGACATGTCAACGCCCTCCTTTTCTTAACTAAGATTAAGCAAAGTTAATGGTTTCTTAAAGTTCTTTAGTGAGATGCTTATGCTCACTAATAATGGTCAATTATTCCAATTAAATAAATCAGATAATGATGACATGGTGGTACATCACACCATAAAGTTATTAAGGTTGTACACCATTCGCCATCAAGAACAGACACTGTGCCTAGAATTGGATGTAAAGTTGGTGGCGAAATGGCACCTTAAGTTTCATCTCAACTAGGACAAAGTAAGTGCAAGAGAAAAGGTGAGCTAATAAAAAGAAAGCTGACATGAAGCCATACTGAGAATAGAAGCTGATGTTGAGACAAATTTAGTAGCTGCATTTGCCATCCTGTTTTCTTAGATCCCCAATATTAATTAATTATATATTATATTATATTTTATAATTAGGGATCGAAATATTATGAAAATCCATCAAATAAATAGATTAAAAATAAATAAAAATTAAATTATTTATCTTTACCTCGGAAAGTTTCTTGGGAGGTCCAAATTGTTCAAAAAGGAGCAACAAGAAAAGGGAAAGTGGAAAGGAATAGATTGAGAAAGAGGAGGCGGATGAAAAAAATTGGATCTTTAATGAATGGGACGGCAGATAAGTCTTGAGTCGTGGGCTCCTCTCTCTCTCCCTTGTCCGCTCCACCCCGCTCCCCTCGAAGCGTGATCCAACAACCGCGTCCGCTTCGCTGCTACGAGCTCGTCCGTCCTCTTTGGCAGGTCGAACATTAAATCCGCAGGTTTCTCTCTCTCTCTCTCTCTCTCTCTTCAGCCCATTCCCAACTCACTGCCTTTTTCTGCGGGTTCTTTGCTGTGGACTAGGCCGATTCCAATCTCTCTGTCCTCCTCCGTGTACGTCGCTGTAGAATACGCGGCGGTTGAAGGTACGAGGCGAGGAGGAAAAAAAAGAGGTTCTTTTTTTGAGATGGATCCTGATTGTCGTCTGAAAGATCCGATCTTTGTGCCTATGCATGTCGAATTTTGGTTCAGATTGGGAAGAAAAGAGGATTTTGATTCTACTTTTTGTTGATTCTCTTATGTTTTTTTTTTATCGCTTTGGCTCCATAGTTCCAGATTTTGTCAGAAAAATCTGATATTTGCTTTTGAGTACGTCGATTTTAGGGTTTGAGATTTTTTTTTCCCCTTTCTTGGCCTCAGGTGTTGTTCTTTGATGGTATAGTTTTGCGCTAATCTAGATGATGTTAGAATAGCTTAAATATTCTGATAAGGATTAAAGCTTTTGCTTTGTTTGGTCGACTTGTCTAGGTTGCGCTCGTATACGTACGTACACTTCCTGCATATTGGTTTTCCTTATTGTAATTTTGTATCTGAGATGGTACAATTTTGGTTGATTATGAGAACTTCAAATAAATGTTTTGATAGGAAAACAGAATATTAGGTTGCCTATGGAAGCTAAAGATTTCTTCTTTTCTAGTTATATTTCTTTGAAATGACTAGTTTAGCATGTCTTTTGTTCTTCGTGTGTTCTTTTGGTGTCATTTTATTCCAAGAAGACTCTTTTGGTGACATGAAAAAAATGTCATACATATTCTGTTGGTTGTATCATGCAAGTTTTGTCACACCGGCATAATAAGTATAATCCTATGTCATTATACAGAAGATGAGATACGACGAGCTGTTGTTTCTTTTCGTGTGCCATCTAATCTTGTCCACCCATGCGTATTTTGTTAGCATTTGATTTCTTACAATTCGTATCATGAGCGTGAACCAATTCCCTAGTAGCTGACAGAAGCATTTATTTATTTGGGTTTTCTGGTTCCTTTTCTTGATCATTGGCCTGCTTTTCGATCTCCAGTTGGTGCTTTGGTGGACCAGAGTCCGTATGTATACTTGACGAATATATCTAATTACTTATTTTGAGTATCCCGCCCTGCCGATAAGTTTTCTCTGTACATGGTGATTCTTACACCTTGGAAATGTTTGTTGTAGAGCAAGTTCTACCACTGTCTGCAACCTCACCGTCTGCCCCATATTTTTATCTCGACATGGATGAGTACGTGGGCAAGAGAGCAGCTGGAGAACATAACTTTCCTAGAAGGCCCAGCATTGCTTCTAGAAACCAAAATAACCAAGGCCGTAGTGTTCACTATCCTGACAGGCTAGGATGCGGTGCCAGGCAAAATACCACAAGGGGTGCTCTAATTGGTTGTCAAGAAAAATATAAATATACAAGGGCTCCCTTCAGTTCCATGAACTGTGAAGCCATGGAAGCTAGCTCTTCCAGATCATCTCCTATTTCTAGTGGCTGTGGTAGGTCTTTCCGTGAACAGAAGAATAAAGAATTGCTGAGGGAATCAACTATTGCAGAAAGTAGCACCAAGCAAGATGAGAGTGAAGATTTGATCAACATTGACAAGCAGGTTTATGTAGAAATTCTGAATTCTGAATCACAAAGGAGGTTGGAAGATTCAGAAGGCATTTCTGTGACCACAGAGCATTTCAAACCTTCAGTTCTTCAGAACATTTCTACCAATATAACTGAGTCAAGCATCAGTGCATCAGTTCCAAAACCACATAGACGAATCAATAGACAATTTGGCACAGGAAAGCAAGATCCTTCTTCAAGTTCCTTTCTCCATCACCCAAGTGTTTCGCATAGGAACTCCAGTCATGCTGTTAAACCGATCTCTCAAAGGTTGAGCTCTGGGCCAGAGACATGTAGCCTTAAAAGTTTAAGTTGCACGTCAATATCGGATATTCTTCCTTCAGGTTGTTCATCTTCTGATTTCACACATCATAAGAGAGCTGATGCAGTAAGAAAGAGGCCATCTGGTGGAGATAGCTCTGCTACCAGAAGCAAGGGTGCAAGTGCATCATCCGGTGGAGGTTATGTAGTTCCCATGCATACTGGTGCTGGCTCAAGTTCATCTAGTAGGGATCAATCAATGCATCGGCCCATGTCAAGGACCAGAAACCAGCCTACCATCAGGGACGGGCCAGTTTCAGTTAGAACTCATAGGGGTTCAACTGAAGAAAATCAAATGAGGTTGTCTGTTCAAGGTGATGATAGCACCCTTCTATTGCATGAACCCATTATGAATCCTGAATATCAGTGGGCACAATTTTCTAGTCCAGATACACCACCTGAAAATGCATCAAGATCATCACCTGCTTTGTACAATTTGTATGGACGACCAGGTTCAGGCAATCGGGCTTCTCAAAGTACATTACTATCTCAACCTGAAGATAACAGCACACGGATGTTCTATGGCTCTTTGAGAGATAGAGATGTTTATCGTCGCTTCAACATGGATGGATTTGCAGAGGTTTTCTATAGACTCTTTTACTGTATGGTTACAATTTGTCTTTTTACATGTTTTCTAGAAGCAATTTGCAGTATTTACTTCAACATCGACAAGAGATGCTAGACATCCTATAGGTGTCATCACTCAATGAAATTATATTTTGTATTGTACATTTGAAATGAGCCCTTAGATCCAAAAACTGTTTCATATCCATGCAGGTTCTCTTGGCACTAGAGCGGATTGAACAAGTTGAGGCATTGGCACATGAGGTTCTTGATCTCTACTTGTGAGACCTTGTATTCTTATTTTTATCATCTGAATGAGGTTATCTCTGTTCCTACAGCAATCGTTGATGTTGGAGACAAGTTTGCTTTTTGGTGGGCTTAGCTTCCATGATCATCATAGAGATCTGAGAATGGACATTGATAATATGTCCTACGAGGTAATACCTTTGTGGGCGGTTTCTGTGAATTGATTACCGATTCTCGCTGTCTAGATTTTTCTTGTTTACATAACTGATGCTTATGCATGCTTCTTCGTATGTTCTTATCTTGAATAATTGTCCTTGGAGTAATTCTGTGCTAGTCAGGTGTAGGCATTGTACAGTATGATGCCCTTTAATATTTTGATATGCCACTCGTGACTCGAGTTAGGTTCCCCAAATGTGT